TTAGTGGGAGACAGATTTGTCGAACTCAAAGTAAGTATTAGAGTGCTCTCGCCACACTTGTAACAAAAACCCCAACGTTCTCTTGTTTTTCCCCTTCAGAAACCACATGTCCCCCAACAACAGGTCAGATAAACAATTTCAAAATAATGTTTGAACTCTTAATGCCATATTGCTCTTACTATTATGTTTTTTTTATTTTTCCAGATCCACCGTCAATAGGTAAGAGTATGAGGTTACTAATTTGGCATATAACTTTGTGTGTCATTTCAGGAGCTGTGAATGAGACTAAGGTGTTGGGTTGTGGGGTGATATCATGGAAACCTCCACCAGGCAATGAGGGAGTAAAACTGAGTTATATTGTCAGGTTCTTTGACGGAAGCACATACGAAACTAGTGCTAGTGGCTACAGAAGGATACAGCGCAACCTTGAGATAGGGAGACAGTGGACAAGAGTTAATGATATTCCTGATGGCAGAACTGTGTATGCTGATGTAAGTGGGCAGTATTTATAATCAGCTGTGTATGGTATCACTACTTTCAGATCCGTGCAAGAAACACAAGTGGCAATGTTGGTCTTTTTTCTCAAAAATTTGTTGTTGCCAGTAAGCATGTTGGTGGTGTACATTGCAGAGTGATCAACAAATTTTTTTAACTTTCAGATTCAACTCTATGTGCTGATGGTAAGCTTTTTTATTCACAAATGTTTTCACTCATGTGATTAAATTCATCCAGGCTGTCCTCCCCCTTTACCTTGTCCTGGTACGTCCTCTTGATGACTTGTTTCAAAATGATCTTGTTTTACTCAAACTATTTCATGTGTTCAGATTGTGATGAGTGCCAGGCAAGAAGTGTTGGTCTAGTTCGCTATCCTACTACACTAGCTCCAGCCAGTGGATCAGTGACTGTCACTACACAGTGTGCTGACAATGCTCACGTCAGAACTGGCTTTAGTCTGAGTGTCAGGTGTAGCTCTAGTGGTAGTTGGACTGGTACAACTCCTCAGTGTGAATGTGATACTGGATATCGTGCAGTCACTGTTAGTGGGAAGACAGATTTGTCAATGTAAGCATTGTAGCTACCATCTTTCAAATGGTTTTCTCTGTTTCTAAAGGTGATACCCCAACTACATGCCCTGCTACGAGTTCGGGTCTAGTTCACTATCCTACTACACTAGCTCCAGCCAGTGGATCAGCGGCTGTCGCTACACAGTGTGCTGACAATGCTATCAGAACCAGTGAAAGTTTGAATGTCATGTGTACCTCTAGCGGTAGCTGGTCTGGTACAACTCCTCAGTGTGAATGTGATACTGGCTATCGTGCAGTCACTGTTAGTGGGAGGCAGATTTGTCGAACCGATGGTAAGCATTATAGTGCGTTCACCACAGCAATAACAAAAACCCCGACGTTCTCCTGTTTTTTCCCCTTCAGAAACCACATGTCCCCAACAACAGGTCAGATAAACGTTTGAACTCTTAATGCCATATATTGCTCTTACTATTATGTTTTATTTTTATTTTTCCAGATCCACCGTCAATAGGTAGAGTATGAGGTTACTAATTGGCATATAACTTTGTTCGTCATTTCAGGAGCTGTGAATGAGACTAAGGTGTTGGGTTGTGGGGTGATATCTTGGAAACCTCCACCAGGCAATGAGGGAGTAAAACTGAGTTACGTGTCAGGTTCTTTGACGGAAGCACATACGAAACTAGTACTAGTGGCTACAGAAGTATACAGCGCAACAGTGAGATAGGGAGACAGTGGACAAGAGTTAATGATATTCCTGATGGTAGAACTGTGTATGCTGATGTGAGTGGGCAATATTTATAATCAGCTGTGTATAATTATGATAACACTACTTTCAGATCCGTGCAAGAAGCACAAGTGGCAATGTTGGTCCTTTTTCTCAAAAATTTGTTGTTGCCAGTAAGCATGTTGGTGGTGTAACATTACAGAGTGATCAACAATTTTTTAACTTTTCAGATTCAACTCTATGTGCTGATGGTAAGCTTTTTTATTCACAAATGTTTTCACTCATGTGATTAAATCCATCCAGGCTGTCCTCCCCCTTTACCTTGTCCTGGTACGTCCTCTTGATGACTTGTTTCAAAATGATCTTGTTTTACTCAAACTATTTCATGTGTTCAGATTGTGATGAGTGCCAGGCAAGAAGTGTTGGTCTAGCTCGCTATCCTACTACACTAGCTCCAGCCAGTGGATCATTGACTGTCACTACACAATGTGCTGACAATGCTCACGTCAGAACTGGCTCTAGTCTGAATGTCAGGTGTAGCTCTAGTGGTAGTTGGACTGGTACACCTCCTCAGTGTGAATGTGATACTCGATATCGTGCAGTCACTGTTAGTGGGAGGCAGATTTGTCAAAGTAAGCATTATTTAGTAGCTAGCTACCATCTTTCAAATGACTTACTCTGTTTTCCACAGGTGCCCCAACTACTTGCACAGCTAGAAATGTTGGTCTAGTTCGCTATCCTACTACACTAGCTCCAGCCAGTGGATCAGTGGCTGTCACTACACAGTGTGCTGACAATGCACACGTCAGAACTGGCTTTAGTCTGAGTGTCAGGTGTAGCTCTAGTGGTAGCTGGACTGGTACAACTCCTCAGTGTGAATGTGATACTGGATATCGTGCAGTCACTGTCAGTGGGAGGCAGATTTGTCAAAGTAAGCATTATTTAGTAGCTAGCTACCATCTTTCAAATGACTTACTCTGTTTTCCACAGGTGCCCCAACTACTTGCACAGCTAGAAATGTTGGTCTAGTTCGCTATCCTACTACACTAGCTCCAGCCAGTGGATCAGTGGCTGTCACTACACAGTGTGCTGACAATGCTCACGTCAGAACTGGCTTTAGTCTGAGTGTCAGGTGTAGCTCTAGTGGTAGCTGGTCTGGTACAACTCCTCAGTGTGAATGTGATACTGGATATCGTGCAGTCACTGTCAGTGGGAGGCAGATTTGTCAAACCGTTGGTAAGAATTAGAGTGCTCTCGCCACACTTGAAACAAAAACCCAACGTTCTCTTGTTTTCCCCCTTCAGAAACCACATGTCCCCCAACAACAGGTCAGATAAACGTTTGAACTCTTAATGCCATAATATTGCTCTTACTATTATGTTTTATTTTTATTTTTCCAGATCCACCGTCAATAGGTAAGAGTATGAGGTTACTAATTTGGCATATAACTTTGTTCGTCATTTCAGGAGCTGTGAATGAGACTAAGGTGTTGGGTTGTGGGGTGATATCTTGGAAACCTCCACCAGGCAATGAGGGAGTAAAACTGAGTTACGTTGTCAGGTTCTTTGACGGAAGCACATACGAAACTAGTACTAGTGGCTACAGAAGTATACAGCGCAACAGTGAGATAGGGAGACAGTGGACAAGAGTTAATGATATTCCTGATGGTAGAACTGTGTATGCTGATGTGAGTGGGCAATATTTATAATCAGCTGTGTATAATTATGATAACACTACTTTCAGATCCGTGCAAGAAGCACAAGTGGCAATGTTGGTCCTTTTTCTCAAAAATTTGTTGTTGCCAGTAAGCATGTTGGTGGTGTAACATTACAGAGTGATCAACAATTTTTTTAACTTTCAGATTCAACTCTATGTGCTGATGGTAAGCTTTTTTATTCACAAATGTTTTCACTCATGTGATTAAATCCATCCAGGCTGTCCTCCCCCTTTACCTTGTCCTGGTACGTCCTCTTGATGACTTGTTTCAAAATGATCTTGTTTTACTCAAACTATTTCATGTGTTCAGATTGTGATGAGTGCCAGGCAAGAAGTGTTGGTCTAGCTCGCTATCCTACTACACTAGCTCCAGCCAGTGGATCATTGACTGTCACTACACAATGTGCTGACAATGCTCACGTCAGAACTGGCTCTAGTCTGAATGTCAGGTGTAGCTCTAGTGGTAGTTGGACTGGTACACCTCCTCAGTGTGAATGTGATACTCGATATCGTGCAGTCACTGTCAGTGGGAGGCAGATTTGTCAAAGTAAGCATTATTTAGTAGCTAGCTACCATCTTTCAAATGACTTACTCTGTTTTCCACAGGTGCCCCAACTACTTGCACAGCTAGAAATGTTGGTCTAGTTCGCTATCCTACTACACTAGCTCCAGCCAGTGGATCAGTGGCTGTCACTACACAGTGTGCTGACAATGCACACGTCAGAACTGGCTTTAGTCTGAGTGTCAGGTGTAGCTCTAGTGGTAGCTGGACTGGTACAACTCCTCAGTGTGAATGTGATACTGGATATCGTGCAGTCACTGTCAGTGGGAGGCAGATTTGTCAAAGTAAGCATTATTTAGTAGCTAGCTACCATCTTTCAAATGACTTACTCTGTTTTCCACAGGTGCCCCCAACTACTTGCACAGCTAGAAATGTTGGTCTAGTTCGCTATCCTACTACACTAGCTCCAGCCAGTGGATCAGTGGCTGTCACTACACAGTGTGCTGACAATGCTCACGTCAGAACTGGCTCTAGTCTGAGTGTCAGGTGTAGCTCTAGTGGTAGTTGGACTGGTACAACTCCTCAGTGTGAATGTGATACTGGATATCGTGCAGTAACTGTCAGTGGGAGAATATTTGTCAAAGTAAGCATTATTAATTAGCTACCATCTTCAAATGATTACTCTGTTTCTTAAAGGTGTTACTCTAACTACATGCCCTGCTAGAAGTGTTGGTCTAGTTCGCTATCCTACTACACTAGCTCCAGCCAGTGGATCAGTGGCTGTCACTACACAGTGTGCTGACAATGCTCACGTCAGAAATGGCTTTAGTCTGAGTGTCAGGTGTAGCTCTAGTGGTAGTTGGACTGGTACAACTCCTCAGTGTGAATGTGATACTGGATATCGTGCAGTAACTGTCAGTGGGAGACATATTTGTCAAAGTAAGCATTATTAATTAGCTACCATCTTTCAAATGATTTACTCTGTTTCTTAAAGGTGTTACTCTAACTACATGCCCTGCTAGAAGTGTTGGTCTAGTTCGCTATCCTACTACACTAGCTCCAGCCAGTGGATCAGCGGCTGTCACTACACAGTGTGCTGACAATGCTCACGTCAGAACTGGCTCTAGTCTGAGTGTCAGGTGTAGCTCTAGTGGTAGCTGGTCTGGTACAACTCCTCAGTGTGAATGTGATACTGGATATCGTGCAGTCACTGTCAGTGGGAGGCAGATTTGTCAAACCGATGGTAAGAATTAGAGTGCTCTCGCCACACTTGAAACAAAAACCCAACATTCTCTTGTTTTCCCCCTTCAGAAACCACATGTCCCCCAACAACAGGTCAGATAAACGTTTGAACTCTTAATGCCATAATATTGCTCTTACTATTATGTTTTATTTTTATTTTTCCAGATCCACCGTCAATAGGTAAGAGTATGAGGTTACTAATTTGGCATATAACTTTGTTCGTCATTTCAGGAGCTGTGAATGAGGACTAAGGTGTTGGGTTGTGTGGGCTCATATCTGGAACCTCCACCAGGCAATGAGGGTAGAACTGAGTTACGTTGTCAGGTTCTTTGACGGAAGCACATACGAAACTAGTACTAGTGGCTACAGAAGTATACAGCGCAACAGTGAGATAGGGAGACAGTGGACAAGAGTTAATGATATTCCTGATGGTAGAACTGTGTATGCTGATGTGAGTGGGCAATATTTATAATCAGCTGTGTATAATTATGATAACACTACTTTCAGATCCGTGCAAGAAACACAAGTGGCAATGTTGGTCTTTTTTCTCAAAAATAAGCTTGTTGTTGCCAGTAAGCATGTTGGTGTGTGTAACATTACAGAGTGATCAACAATTTTTTAATTCAGATTCAACTCATGTGCTGATGGTATAAGCCTTTTTTATTCACAAAGTTTCACTCAGGTGATTAAATCCATCCAGGTTGTCCGCCCCTTTACCTTGATCCTGGTACGTCCTCTTGATGAATTGTTTCAAAAATGATCTGTTTACTCAAAACTATTTCATGTGTTCAGATTGTGATGTACTGGTATCGTGCAGTCAGTTAGTGGGAGGCAGGATTGTCAAACTCAAGTAAGAATCTTAGTATTATGTCACTAAAATTAATTTGATTTTTCTTGCAGGTCTTCCTCCACTACATGCCCTGTAGAAATATTGGTCAGTCGCTATACTACTACACTAGCTCCAGCCAGTGGATCAGTGGCTGTCACTAAACAGTGTGCTGACAATGACACGTCGAAATGGCTTTAGTTCGGAGTAGGTCAGGTTGTAGCTTTAGTGGTAGTTGGACTGGTAAACTCCTCAGTGTGAATGTGATACTGATATCGTGCAGTCACTGTCAGTGGGAGACAGATTGTCAAAGATAAGCATATTAATTAGCTACCATCTTTCAAATGATTTACTTGTTTTTAAGGTGTTACTCTAACACATGCCCTGCTAGAAATGTTGGTCTAGTTCGCTATCCTACTACACTAGCTCCAGCCAGTGGATCAGCGGCTGTCACTAACAGTGTGTGACAATGCTCACGTCAGAACTGGCTTAGTTGAGTGTCAGGTGTAGACTTTGAGTGGTAGTGGATCTGGTACATCCTCGTGTGAATGTGATACTGGAATCGTGCAAGTCACTGTTGTGGGAGGCCAGAGTTGTCAAACTGAAGGTAGTATTAGAGTGTCTCGCCACACTTGAAACAAACCCAAGTTCTCTGTTTTTCCCTTTCAGACACCACATGTCCCCGAACAACAGGTCAGATAAAGAATTTCAAAATATTGTTTGAACTCTTAATGCCATAAATTGCTCTTACTATTATGTTTTTTTAATTTTTCCAGATCCACCGTCAATAGGTAAGAGTATGAGGTTACTAATTTGGCATATAACTTTGTGTGTCATTTCAGGAGCTGTGAATGAGACTAAGGTGTTGGGTTGTCGGGGTGATATCTATGGAAACCTCCACCAGGCAATGAGGGAGTAAAACTGAGTTACGTTGTCAGGTTCTTTGACGGAAGCACATACGAAACTAGTACTAGTGGCTACAGAAGTATACAGCGCAACAGTGAGATAGGGAGACAGTGGACAAGAGTTGATGATATTCCTGATGGCAGAACTGTGTATGCTGATGTAAGTGAGCAATTTTCTAAAATTAGTGTGATATCACATCAATTACTTTCAGATCCGTGCAATAGACACAAGCGGTCGCGTTGGTTCTTTTTCTCAAAAATTTGTTGTTGCCAGTAAGCATGTTCAGGTTATATTGCACAATTTGAGACTAAATAAATTTGTTGTATTTTAGATTCAACTCTATGTGCTGACGACGGTAAGCATCTTAAAATGTAATCACAAATTTTCTGACTCACGTATTTAATTTATCCAGGCTGTCCTACTCCTGTACCATGTCCTGGTATGTCTCTTGGTGACTTGTTTCAAAATGATACTAATTTAAGCTCATCTGTTCAGATAATGATGTGTGCCAAGCAAGAAGTGTTGGTCTAGTTCGCTACCCTACTACACTAGCTCTAGCCAGTGGATCATTGACTGTCACTACACAGTGTGCTGACAATGCTCACGTCAGAACTGGCTTTAGTATGAGTGTCACGTGCACTTCTACTGGTAGCTGGACTGGTACAACTCCTCAGTGCGAATGTGATACTGGATATCGTGCAGTCACTGTCAGTGGGAGACAGATTTGTCAAACTGAAAGTATGCATTTTACTTCCATTGGTTGGCTTTCTTCCTGCTCTAACACTTTTTGTTTTTCAGGGTTAAGATGTCCAGAGTTGCAGAATCCTGCAGACGGCTCTGTTACTTACGATAGTTTACATGTTGGTTCACGGGCAGTGTACACGTGCTCCCAAGGATTCAGACTAGTTGGATGCGACAGTGTCAGAACCTGTGGGAGTGACGGGGCATGGAGTGGACAGCCACCTCTCTGCAATAGCGGTTTGTAATACATTTGTGCTGTACTGCTGTCCCCATGTGTGAATAGTCACTTTTGTTATCCATTGATCCACTTCCATAGTTAGCCTACATTCCTGTTTGCCATACCCTTCCAGTGGCCTTAAAATAGTGTTTTAAGTTTTAGTCTATGGCTGACAAATATGTAGTATAATATAGATACTGACTGTTCATTGTCACATGATCACTCACACAGAAGTATGTACTGTTGAACTGGTGGGTGACATCGAAGTGGTTGGGACTTCAGCTACATTTGTGTTCCGTGGTGTTGGCTCTGCATTGCTGGATACACCTGCAAACTCGATGGAACAGTCCTACCAAACTGTATGCCACTCGATATAGCTATAGCACAGACAACTGCTTCCACACGTACGTATCTCTCTCACACAGGTTCCAGTCCTCTGACTGGTCTAAGTCCTGGTGCCCATCGCCTGAGAGTAGTTCCTAAAGGATGTCAGACCAATAAAGGAGCTACCTTCCGCTTTCAAGTTTGACGTAATTATTGACTCTAGGCATAGAGCTCCAAACATGTGAATTCTGATTAAAAACTTGAGTTTGTCATTTGCTGCTAGTTATAGTTAGCATTTTGCTGTTAGTTTTAGTTATAATGTATATATATATAATGTAGTTATCGAAATCATTTCCTAAGCGTGGCAAGGTATATACTGCCAGCAAGTGAGTGACTCGTACTTGTTTTTCATTCTGAGTTGTGGGTAAGTAAGCACGAGTCACCTATAAGCAAGATAGCTATCAAAGTCATGCAACGTATAAGTGCCTCTGGAGGAGCTACAATAACAAAATCGCGTGTACACAGTGCACGCAAACATTTACTCTTAAGTCTTACAAAACTCTGAAATAGCATGCACCCCTTAGTACTCAGTACACCTTGTGTGTTTTCACTGTGGTCAAGTTACTAGCCTGTGGAAGCATTCACTAGGGCCGCCTACACTCATAAGTTTGTGTATGCACATACATGCATTACTACTTATATATATACTACAGCAGTTTTCTCTATTACAAACCTGACTGTTTTTACCCTCGGCGCGCATGCGCAGCGAGGGTACTGTAGTTGGGTTTGTCTGTCTGTCTGTCTGTTACTCTCAATCTCACTTCTCGAATGTCTGTTCGTCTCGCAAAGGATACGACCTACCTACCTAACGGGCAACGAAGGTCTGAATTTTCGAACGGTTTTCTCTGAAAATGCTTCGTTGCAAAGCTAGAGCGCTTCCGCCATTGAACGGCTAATGCTAGTCGGCCATTTTTATCGCTGCGGAAAATGCGCATGCGCTTATATTTTCAACAGGCTCAGGTCCGCTTGCTCTGTGTATCTTGAAGGCACGAGAAGTCACAACTAAGGGCGTGTATCGACTCCCACATGCTATCTACTACTGTAGCTAGCCCGTGTCGGACGCTACTAGCGGGAGACCATGAGTATACTACATACTAATAGCAGCCCAGCCCATCAATTAGCGGTGCCCAGTTCGCCGAGGGTTTGCACTTTAGTGCTTTTCATTCTTACATGTTCACATCAACTTCAGGTGCCCTGTTTACTTCTGTGGACTCACGCTTGTCAATCATGCACCAGTCAAACCCACTCCCATCAACAACAAGTTTTCCTTTAAGCATTTAAAGTGCACCTATATTTGGGAAAAGTTACATTGACGGCAAACAATACATTGTGATGTGTACTATTAACGCATACAGTAAGGAAAATTGGGAAATGGAAAGTGTGTACAGATAACACACAACATATGAACTGGACATATTTTTTTAACTTTCCATCCTAGTGTACGAATGCTGGGACTCCCAGCTAAGCATGCTCCTTTTACTACCTAACAAACACCAGCCTCATTCCCAGGCCTTTCTTGGGAGGCTTCATGTGAAAGAAGCTAAATATACAGCGGATGAACCTTCTAAGGATGTGGTTACTGCGTCTCCATATACTATTAGAGAGCAAAGAACTCTGTCTTTGGATACTATCACTCCAACCGCCGGAGCAGTGTGTTTATCTGCCAGTGTTTATTGGAGTGAGGTGAACTGCAGAGTAAACACTGTGGGCAGGGCTCTGTTCCACCTGCTCCACTGTGTAGGAGGAATATTTTCCGCATTCTGCATTTGTCCTTAGAATCAGGACCTATTGAGGGAATAATTTGTATGTTTTACATTTGCCCCTGAAAAGCTGTTTCTGCTATGAAAGGTAGGCTTGAGAGTGTCCTTTGAGGCTAAAATCACTCCACAGGCCCCCTGACTAATTATTTAAATGGAGTTTAGTTTGTCTTGCAGTAAAAGTGAGTGAGTGACAGCAGAAGCTTCTAAGACAGTCAGCAATGTGCCATTACACAGTATACTCTAGCCCATAAGAGATGTACCCAAACAGGAAGTCTGTAATAGTAGCGATTGAAGTTCTCCTTGTTTGGGCATCTGGACGAAGCTAGTTCTCCTGAGCATGCGCACTGACCGCAAAATTCCTAATAATTAGCGCGAGGACCGCCGCTGCAGCTCGCACTTGGTTCCTAGTCTACTAATCACAGGGATTCTGTTACTGTTGTTGGAAAGTCAGCGATCAAACAGCTATGGTGCGCTGGTTTGGGTTCGGGCCAACAAATCGGAGAACGATGCTACTAGCCTTTGTTGTAAGTTACACGACTGACAACGTTCGTACGTATCATAATGCTACCAGGGATATACAGCTATTTTCCGGCGCTACTGAGTGTAGCGATCAGTATTACGTGTGGTGTGGCCACGAATTCAAGAATACCTAGCTAAGCATTGTTTGTTGTCTTGAAGGAACGTAATAGCTTTAGCTAATGTTTGTTGCTGACGGCTGTGTATACGGCGCTGGCTGGATGTGCAGTGTAATAAGATTAACTACAGCGCTTGCTTGCCCACTAGTCTCGCCACATCAAACTTGGCCCTTGACCAGCCTCATTCCACAGACGTTAGCTACAAATAATGGCAATTAATCAACAATTATTATATAATTTAATTTACTGTCAGTTTCAATCTCAAACTTCCATTGTCATGCATGAAAGTTGCGGTGTGTATGGAGTGTGGAACATTATCTCTGCCCCATGACATTCTTGACATACTGCAATTTTCATGCACTGTTGGTTTCCTGAAGCAATTGCCCGGCAAATCATTAATTAAAGACCATATTAGTTTGTCATTGCATTGCCTTGACAGGCGAGCAAGCGAGCCTTCCTAGTCGTGTGAATGTCAGATTTCTCAATAATTATTTTATCCTCGCACAATTATAATGTTGCATATGATTCTAATAAAACGGGCAAAAATACGGCTGTCTGAACTTTGTAGAGGAGAATGACAAAGTCCTGATTGTTGGGTTTGGTAGAAAAGGTATAGGTTATTATGCGTAGATGTAGGTGCATCTTCGCAGTTAACATATATACTCAAGAAACAGCTCTTGTATGGCATCTGTTTATTTGGACCTGGTAGCCTAGGCAGACCACACTAAAATATGTCTCAATAATGTAAGTCTCACTTGAGAAAGTTGCTAAACAATCAGACTGCCATTAGCTAGCTGCACATATTGTTAGGGAACCCTTTTGGGGCAACAATGTTATCTTAGTACCAAGGTGACTTGGTGAATAAACAAAGCTGTAGCTACTACAACACTGTACAACACACTCCTTAAAAGTGCAATATAAAGACATCTCAAGCTAAGCCAAACAAATGTGTGGTCGCAGCAATATCCATAACATCCTGCTCTGAGACTTTTGCCATTAGGAAACTAAGTAGGGGGAAAGTAGACACAACTAGCCGTGTGATAACTATAGATTATCTTTCCTTGTTTTCTTTGAGGCCAATGTACATCTCGACGTGTTTATGGTCAACAGCTCAAAACGGATACACACACACGAACATAATCTAACACCTTAAAGACTTGGTGAGAGTCGAAGTACCATCTAAGGAATGGACAGCCTTGATTTCACCTTAGAGTAGCTCAGATGACGAATAGTAGAGCATAATTTCTGGGTTAGTATAATTATAGTGACTTACTCCTACACACTGTGAGTGGGCAAAAACTCATTAACTGCAATTTCCTTTCATAGGCATACTTGCTTGTGTTTCTGAGCCTGTGCTGGGCCCAGGCTCCAGGAGATGAGGATGATCGATGTACAGTTAATCACTCAAATCCCCCACAATATCCCGACAATGAGACGAATCTGATGGACAGTTACAGTTACGAGAACCTCTTACCTGGAAATGGAACTGGGAACTCTCCCATAGCTACTGCAGTCTGGAATGACTTCAGTTTTGATGTAAATGATGTCACTCCTGGAACACTGAACCCAACCTATGTGAGTTAGCTATATACAAAAAAGTAAAGGTGTAAATATTATACTGCATGTTTCAGTGGCAGCAAGGAGCTGGAGGAATATGTCGATTTCAGACACGTGTTTGTGGATGGAGAAGAGAAGGAGCCACTCAGAATAACTGGCTCTTTACTCAACACATCAGTCCAGATTTTGACTCCAGCATATACAACTATGATGTGACGATACATGTAGAGGCGATTTACTCATTGCAGAGTTGTAGAGATCGGCAAGGGTGTATACAAAGATTCAATCTTCTCCACTACATGACTAACTCACAACAGCTCCCCAGCACCAGTGGAAATGGATACATGAATGCACAAAATTATGAAAATTTTGCAGTACCAGAAGGACCTGTTTCCTCAAAGACTTACACCAATACCTACAATTTCACTCTGCCACCATCTTCCACCGGTTTCTACATAGCTGTCCAGGACATTGGGTCATGTATAGCTCTATCAAGACTGAGAGTCTATCGCAATAACTGCAAGTCTCGTCAGGTTGGACTGGTCCAATATCTTGATGCTCCTGCTCCAATGTCTGGCTCAACAAATATTGATATCAGTTGTGTTGAAAATGCAGTGCCTAGAAGCTCAAGAGTCAAATGTGGCAGTGATGGCACATGGGGTTCTCAAAGTCCTGTGTGTCAGTGTAGACTTGGATATGAGGATAGGCAGACGGAGTGTATTAGTAAGTCACTATCCTCCGTTTTACATGGCTTGTTTGAACATAAAGCTTTCACACAGCTTGTGGAGCTGGTCAGTATCGTTCCAGTGAAGACACTACCTGCCAGCAATGTCCTGCCAATTGTGAAACTGATGAGGTGGCTGCCGACGAATGTGAGTGTTTGGATGACTACGATAGAAACAACGTGAACAGAATGACTGCACTAGGAGCACAGCGCTTCCTCACTCTTCCAGCCAATGAACTTCCAAGTGAAAAATGTACACGTAAGTATACAACAGAACATGTCATACTCGCTTATTATAATGTTTGGCTATTTTCCCTCTGTGCAGAACCTCCCAGTGCTCCAGGCAGCCTTTCACTGAGTCCCCAACAGAGCAGTATAACTGTCAGATGGTCAGCACCAGCAGACCTTGGTGGGAGGAGAGATCTCTACTATCAGGTGGAAATAAGTGACCCAGACAACCTGGGGTCGTTCACTGGGACAGTATTCCTCAGTGGAAGTACCACCAGTAGGACAATCTCTGGCCTAAGACCACACACTCAGTACTGTGTCAGAGTGACATCCCACAATGGAGTCAGTGACCAGGACCCTGATGGAGAACACCTCAGGACTGAAGGGGAGTGCACTACAACGTCAGAGCTCGTAAGTATACAACATTAAGTGTTAGTCTAGCACACACACCCTCTCTTTCTCCACGTGACCTCACCGCGCGCAGGCCCACGTATGCGCGGGCCTGGGAAAAAGGGTGCAGATTAGATATCTTACATAACCAATACACACACATTCCTCCCATTTTAACCCCCTTATTTATGACTCTATTCTGGTTTCCTCAAGGTCCAGGAGTGGTGAATGGAGTTCAGGGGACGTATCCCTATGTGGTATGGAACCCCCCAGAGGAGCCAAATGGAGTCATCACGGGCTACAGACTGGTGTTCAGTAGGTCAGGGACCTCCACTACGAGCACTGTCACCACCACTAATGATCAGACCTTCTACATCATCCAATCATCTGATATCCCCTGGACCTCCGGAAAGTTCAGAGTAACAGTAAGTCTTCTGCTTTTCTACTGCTACCCTACCACAACAAAGTTTTGCCATGTATATTGGCCTTTAGCAGGTAGCTTGTCCTACCTATAAAGACCAGCATCATGTCCTTTCCATCCTTTTCTTTGTGAGTGTCATGCGCTTATCGGTGTATTTGCAGGTTGCAGCTGGGAACAGTGTTGGTTTCGGGCCTCAGTCTTCAACTTCTCCACTCATAATGACGGCGATTCATGCCGTAAGTACATCTATAATATGAAACTCCGCATTCAAGATGTATTTGTCCTTACTTCCAGCAACAACCAATTGCCTAGGTATGTGCTATAATATACAGAAACTTATTTCAGAGTTGAAGTTTGCTTTTGTCTGTTTTATTGTGTGCCCAGCACAAAGTGTGGGTCTAGTGCGATATCCTGCCACACTTG